CCTGAAACTCATTCCTCACGTGGTGCCTTTAACTTCTCCACAAGCCAGTTAGGTAGATCTTAGTAAACCAATTTTTCAGACAAAGAGATTAAATTTGGACCCAAACCAGAAAGCTAATAAATGGCAAAACCAGGTTTCAAACACTGATGTGATTCTAAAGTTGATGTTTTGAAGAACTGTTCTGTATTTTATCTCCATGGTGCTAAATGTTTTTGACAGGTGAAGAGGAATGTCTTAAGAGCAGGGGCTTAGAAATTGTAAGGTCAGACTGTTAGGCCCTTTCCATGGGTGCCGAGTTCACTAAGAATAATGAGAGACAATGTGGTAGAGAGGGAAATGTGAACCTGGCACTGAAGTCCTGGAAGAAGGTGAAGGTATGTTGTAAAAGTGTGATAATAAGAGGAAGTATGGACTTCAAAGGAGACGAGGTCACAGAGGTATAAAGTAGGAGCATCCCTGGTTTGCAAGAAGATCAAATGCTTAGGCCCAGTGCAGTGGCTCACGCCTGTAATCCTAGCATTTTGGGAGGTCAAGATGGATGGATCCCTTGAGGTCAGGAGTTCGAGACCAGCCCGGCCAACATGGTAGAACCCCATCTCTACTAAAAATACAAAAATTAGCCAAGCATGCATGTAATTCCAGCTACTCAGGAGGCTGAGGCAGGAGAATCACTTGAACCCTGGAAGTGGAGGTTGCAGTGAGCTGAGATTGTGACTCTGCACTCCAGCCTGGGAGACAGAGCGAGAGTCTGACTCAAAAAAAAAAAAAAAAAAAAGAAGAAGATCAAATGCTTGCTCATTACTGCTGAGTGGGGAATGAGTAGAAGAAGACATGTCCTTCATTGTCGGTCTTTGAGCCTCTGTGGGAAAGCCAGATGTTCAGTTCAGGTGAGAGATGAAAGGAGCAGATGTGGGGGAAGAAGCTGAGGTTGGAAGAGCATCCCAGAACACCATATCAGAGGCCAGGAGATGGGAGGACAGAGGGCTGGGGTGGAAGAAGGACTTAGTTTCCAGAGTTAGCAAGAGAAGTGAGGAGGCTGAGAGGCAGCCTAGAAGGGCAAGGTAGAAGCCAGTCAGGAGAGCACTGCACACCTAGAATCTTGTGATGGGGGTTACAGGCTCTGCATTCCAAGTGAAATGTCATAAAGGGAAAGAAAGTCTAGCTGCACACTTACCTGCCTTGGTGTTTACCACTCAGATGGCTTCCAGTCTGCCTTTGGTGCTGAGGAAAGGAGGCTCTGGCACCACTGAAACTAGAAAACTTGACAGTTGCTAGTCTATTCCACTGGACTCATAGATGTTTGGGATTACCAAATTGGCAAGAGCAAAGCTATCTCCAGGTATATACTATTTCACAGTGTACCATCTCATTATGACCTTGTCAGGAGCCTGTAGTGACATCAGATCCCTGATTATTAGTACCATGGCTTTGACAAATTTCTGAGATCCCAAATTGTCCAGGTAGCAGGAACTGAAGAGGGTGATCTGGGTGGTCAGGCCTGAAGAAATCCCCTCACGATGTAAGTTAGCGATTTCATCAACTGTCTTTTAAAATAGTTGATTGTTCCTTGTAACTGAAACTTATGCTTCTCTGAATGTGTAATTGAAAGGTTTTTATAGGATATGGGGGAAGGAGGAGATATTCACTCCAGTTGTACCAAACAATCCTAGAAAGCCAATGGGGTAAACATACAGGAATGAAGACATAGGGCGTAGGGAAAAGAGGGAGTCTATTTTAAAAGGTCTAGGGTATGAGTAACCCCCTACTTAGTCCTATGTGTATGAATTACCTGAAATCTTGCTAAAAGGCAGACATTGGTTCAATGAGTCTGGGTAGGAGGGCCTAGTAGCTGCATGTTTGGCAAACTCCTGGCAAGCGCTGAGGCTGCTGGCCTGCAGACCACACTTTGAGCACTAAGGACTTGCACTATGTAACTAGTCAAACATTAGCTTCAAAAGATGGATTGTTTGTGAGGTAAGATGGCTGTTAGCCAACCCATTAAGACATACTAGGCATAGACTTGATGTGTAATAGTAGGATGATTGCAAAACTTAGAGTCAGAATTTGCAGCTTTTCATGCTGATTCTACCATTTTCTAGCAATAAAAGTTTGGACAAGCCCCAGGTCATCTCTGTGTTTCAGTTTCTTCCTCTGATAAAATAGAGGTGACAAGATGTGCCGTGGTTGGCTAACCACAGGGTAATCGTGAGGGTCAGAGGAAACAACTTAGTGAAAGTGCCTTATGAACTGAAGTGCTGCATGTGTGTAAGCATTATTTTTATTACTGTGTTATTTGAAGTGAAACCTTACTAATGCTCCTATTTCCACTGCTTTTATTTTAATAGATAAATCGATAACGTTGGCAAGTGTTTGCTATTTCCCTGATGCCATGTTAAGCACAAGTTTACTCCTCACATCTCTAATAATATTAGTATTACTATTGTTAGCCCCATTCTACAGAGGAAAATGTGAGGCCCCCACACAATAAGATAAGGCCCAGCTGTGAGGTGTTGATGCTAGATTATGAGCTCAGGTTGACTCTCCAAAATTTAAGCTCTTATTTACTGCATTCAACTGATGGATTGTAGCAAACACCCAACATCATAGAAGAAGGTGATAGTCTAGACCAGAGGTTGGCATGCTTCTTCTGTAAAGGGCAAGATAGTAAACATTTAGCCTTTCTATGCCAAATGATTTCTCTTGCAGCCATTCAGTCCTCTCATTGCAGTGCAAAAGCAGTCACAGACAATTTGTAAAGGAATGGGTGCAGCTGTGTTGCAATAAAATGTCATTTCTAGAAATAGGTGGCAGGCTGGATTTGGTCTGCAAGCAATAGTTTGATGATCGTTGCTCTAGAAAATTCTGAGTTGTCCAATATGGTAGTCATTGGGCACGTGTGGCTGTAAATTCAGTTTCTCAGTTGCATTGGCCACATTTCAAGTACTGAATAGAAACGTGTGGCTAGTAGCTACTGTATTGAACAGTGTAGAGAACATTTTCATCAACACAGAAAGTTCTATTGGAGAGCCCTGATCTAGATCCTCTTTGGAGGTGGGAGGTGGGGAAAATCTTTTTATCAGTAGCTGTGAGGACGTGGAAGCTCTGAGTCCTGGCTTTACTTCTTATATCTGTAAGTAAATCACATCATCTCCCATAGGCTCCATTAATACACACATAAGATGGGAATAATACCCTCTGTTCAATGTTGCTGTGGGAACTCAATGAGAAAATATGTGAAAGGCACTTAGTAATCTGTTAGGGGCTGCACAGACATAAGCCATTGTTAGGACTCTAATTGTTATGTAAAATGTGAGAGAATGTATGGAGGCAGAATTTGGGTAGGTGCCTGAATTGACAGACCATGTTTTCTTTAAAATCATTCTTGGGGGAGCCATTGAGATGATAGAGAGTTATCAGAATAAGGAAATTTTATTGTTTTTATGGTTCTATTTTTGGACCAGAAAAACAGTAAACAAGGCAGATCTCAGTGTCTGTTCACTTTTCAGAGCTTGGAATTGCCTTTGTAATGCTTAACACCCTCAGGAAACGGACAAAACTGTCCAGATAGGGGCTGTGATGAAATTGGCAGGCCATAGTGACCTTCCTGAGGGAGATCAAAGGTTTATTTTTTATCACATTCAAAGTTAAAAAGCGTGGCGCCATCACACGTCAAAGGTTCTAGTTCTTTCCTGATGCTTCTCTTTCACAGGGGCCCCCTTTATACCACACAGGTCAAGAACAAAGCTCAATTCTGCCACAGAATGATCAACCAAGCCATTGTTTGTGCAAATGGTTTTAACATCTCTGTGATTCCCAGGGCATCCCTTCTCCCTGGTTCTTCCTCCCTGTTGCTAGTCCCTGCCATAAATCACCCTTATAGAAAAAGGCCTTCTCTTCCCATGAGTCTGTCATCCCCTCTTTTCCCTCAGGGTGCTGGGAGCCAGGCCACCCTCTAGTTCTAGGCCAATCTACTGTTACCATTCACTTGAATGTACAGAAGAGAAGTTTTCTTCTTTTTTGGCCTGGACACACCCTTCTGATTTCTGCCTATAACTAGGAGTTACGTTTTGCATCTATCCTTTCCCTATAGCTTTTTCTATGAGCCTCCCAGAGCCTATCTCACACATCTCTACCTTCTTTCCTGTTTCCTTTCCCTGTTATTTTTCACACTACTTAAGTACTCCAACAATTCACTCCTCTGCTCTTCAGTGAACACTCACCTATCAGACTGGAATGAAGGTGCCTGTTCCTACACACAGCTGGTACCGGTGTATATTAGTTAAACCTTTAGGAAAGCAATTTGGGAATATTTGTCCAAATCATTAAAAATTGGGTCAAATCCCTTTGAACCAGTAATTCCACCTCTAAGGAAGTATCTTAACTAATTAGACATGCACTGAAAATTACTAAACGAAGATAATCATTATTGCATTATTTATACTACTAAGCAATTAGAAACAACCTAGTTGTCAACAATGGGAAAAGAATAAAATGAACCCCAAATTTAGAAGCAGAAATAAAATGTACTAAAATGTTAACAGTGGTTAAGTCTGGATGTCTCTGGGGTTATCTCTGGTTATCTCTGAAGTACCAATGATTTTACTTTCTTCTTTTGCCCTTTTTACTTTTTACAATATGCATATTATTATATAATCAGAAAGAGATTATAAGAATGAAAGTTCCCATTCTTCCAGGCTGATTATTATATATTCCTCTATAGTATTCTCCTTCGAGCATTCAAAATGCACATTTACCAGCCAAGGCACCTCTCTAGAGGTGTGTCCTTGGAGACAGCCATGCAGGATTTTCTCATACATACTTGAGAAGAGAAATCTAAGAGCTTGCTTGGGGTCCCTTACAATGAACAGTCAGTTTGGGAGGGGAGGAATTAAAGCCAAATGCCCTGAGGAAGAAGTCAGCCTGGTGTCAGCGAAGAGGATGAAGAGGATGTGGTTCCCAATTCTGCCATAAAATCTCTCTTGTCGTTATTGTCCTTACAGTGCCGAAGAAATGGCTCTCACACCCACAAATCTAAATAACGAGATGTCTCTGCAGATGAAGATGGACTGCCAGGAACAAGAGTTGACTGAGAAAAACAATGGCTTTTTCCAAAAGCTCAATGTGACTAAAGGTGTAATGCAGGAGTAAGTCAGAACTGAGCTTGCAGAAGCAGTTTCTAGGGTCCCAACTGCAGACATCTTTGGGCCAGTGGTATGCAGATGATGGGATTTCCAGGTTCAGAGTCTAGGTTGACAATCTTCCCTATAATTTATCTAATTTTAAACTCATGAATATTTACTCTAGTAGGCCTTATGAGAAGCTAAAGGGGCCCACAATCATAAACTGGGTAGATACCCATTAAAAAAAAAAGTTATTTAGACTCTAATCTCAATTTGAGAAAACATGTGGATTGTTTTGTGGCTTCATTATCTTCACCTGCTAAAGATCTAAGCCATTTAAAATACTTTCTGGCATAGAGGGAGCACAAACAGTGGTATAAACACATATTTACATTTGCCAGTACATGTTAAAAAATGCATACTAATTTAGCTATGATTAACAACCTTTTTAACTAGAAAAACATTCTTAAGGTAAAAGATTTTCCAAGAATCCCTCATGTGGCAAGAAAGCTATTATGATATCAAAGATGTTCTTAAATGCATTTATAATTTATTGAAGATAGTAGCATATGCATTTGTAAACTTTGGGCAGTTTTTCATTTAATTTTTTTTCATATAAGCAATATTTATTCATTCTATATAAATCTGTATAGATTCCAGGACCCCTTTCTAAGCAGGATATATGTGAAGTGACTCAATACCCCCTCAACCCTGAGAACACCTCCAGCCTCAGGGTTCAAATCCCATAGACTTGGAACTACTTTTATAGACACATATCACACATTTATTGTGACCCATTCGCAAGCGTACGAGAGAGAACACATAGGCTCTCCAGCAAAATATGAATAAGTGTGGTATTAATTAATTAAGCAAAATATTAAACACTGTGGTAGGGAATGGGCAAAGACTATTAACATACTTATTTTAGAAAAGGAAATACAAATGAGTTTTATGCATATAGGCAAAGATACTCAACCTCACACATAAAATGAGACTAACACTAAATGAGATACCAGTTTAAACATACCAAGTTGGCAAAGATCAAAAACGTTAATAGCACATGGATTTAGACACGGAGTTAGAAATGGGCACATTTTTGCTGGGAGTGAAAATTGATTCAACCTCTTTAAAGCATACTTTGTGAAAAATCTATCAAAATTTAGAATATACATATCTATTGACCTAGAAGTTTTACTTTTCGGGTTTTCCAATAGATATGCTGTACACATACACAACAACAACATATAGATGTGTAAGGATATTCATTCCAGCATTGTTTGTAATAGCAAATGATTGGAAACATTCTACATTTCGGTTAATAAAAAAACTGATCGGAAAATTATTATACAGCCCCGCAATGGAATACTATGTTGCCATTTTAAAAACAAAACAGCTCCGTATGTACTAATATGAAATGGAGCCCAAAATGGGTTATTAAATAAGAAATTCAAAGTACTTTGATGTATACACAGAATGGAGTATATAAATATCCTCCCACATATATTTTAAAGGGTCTATTCTGTACAATATATATACATGCAGACATGCATACATAAACGTCTCTGCTTATTTATGCCTAGAATCTCTGTTGAAAATAAAGAAGCTAGTAAACATTGTGGGGAGGACAGCTGGGGGGTGGAGGTCAAGAGGGTGCTGTAGACCTACTCCTCTCCGCCATTTGAACCATATAATGTATTTAAACTCCACTTTTTAAAACAGGATATTAATGTACTTATTTGTTGATTTTGCACACTCATTTATACATATATATGCACAGAGCTGCAATTAGTTTGGAATTTGGAATCTCACTGTTAATTTATGGATTCAGCCAATTATTATTTATCCAGCCCCTCTATTTCTACTTGTGAGATATACTATGCAAGGTGTTACTCACACAGAATAGAACTCAGTATGGGGATAGCAGGTGCTCCCTGGGGCTGGGAAAGATCTCAGTGTTCTCCATGTAGAAAGGAGTAGGGCAGGCCCAAGCTCTGGCCCAAAGGCATAATAACAGCCTCTGTTTGGATTATGTGGCTTGCAGTTTGCTAAAGGAAATTATCAAAGTGGACTACATCTTAGACCGATCAGATGACGAGGACGACATTTCCTCCGAAAACCCTCAAACTGACTTCCTTCACAAGGTAGACACTGAAAAATGGGTAAGAGAGACACTTAAATGACACAGTAGGTTGAAGAGAAGAACTTCACACCACATATCTCAAAGTGGTAAGAAAATATCTGAGGGTTTCCTTCTAACTGGTGCAGAACTTCAAAGTTTGAAATCAGGAGGGAGGCAGGGGATGGCATTATTCCCACTGGATACTGCTGTTACCACATGAAGGACTTACTAGCCTTCCCATGCAAAAAAAAAAAAAGTGAATTATATGTTATTTTTGTCCTTGAGAATTTATGAAATAACTGTGACATTTCTCACCTTCGAGCAAATCACCATATGACCAAATCACCATATGACCAAATCACCATATGAGCAAATCACCATATGAACAAATCACCATATGAGCATACCCCCTGCTCACAGATTATCTTCCAGTAGAATTCGGCTATTCACCCTTAATGCAGCCTCCAGGAGAGAATCCTTCTTCTTCAAGCTTCTGGGGCTCCAGGCCTTCAATGGCTTGTAGCTACGTAACTCCTGGTCTCCTGTCTTCATCCTCACGTGGTCTTCTCTGTGTCTGTGTCTTCTCCTCTTCTGTCTCTCATTAGGATGTTTGTCATTGGATTTAGGAACCCATTCAAGTAATCCGAGACGATCTTATCTCAAGATTCTTAGTTACATCTGCAAAGACTCTTTTTCCAAATAAGATAATGTGCATGGGGTCCTAGTTCTGTATCAGGACATGGGCATTCCTTGTTTGGGGTCACCACTTAATTCTCTACACTCTATGACCTTGGGTAAGTCACTAAATACAAATGGCCGCATGAGAATGAAAATAAATAATGCACATGAAACTAATTTGTAAAGAGTTACATGAATGTTAGCTATTTCTATTGACTTGACCAGTAGTTTACGCAGACATTTCAAAAAGAGACTGATCTATTCTCCCTCCTCCAAACTTTTCTCCTTCCAGTTTAAAAATAGTTCTGCTGAAACACAGGAAATTCAGATCAAACTTCTTCAGAGGACAGAAGAAACATTTCATAAATAGTTACTAAAGAAGTGTTCCAGGATAAATTATTGCCGATTTTTGCATGCAGAGACTTGAAATAGCAGAACATGTCTTGGGATGCTTTTTGAGAACAAGGCAAAGAATATAGAAACAAAAAAGTAAATTTTATTGATCAAACTCATAGAGTAGGGTTTTTCCCCCAAACTCTTTGATATGAAACAACTTAAGGTCAACTGAGAATTATGCAATGATTAACCATATTCCTACACCTGTGTTTAAAAATCTTTCACATTTCTCACATTGGCTTTATTTTTATGTATATAAATAGATGAAACTTTCTGAACCATTTAAAAGTAGGTCAAAGACAGCATGATACTTCATTCCTGTTTACTTCAGAAAGCATCTCTAAAAATAAAACTTTCTCTCACAAAATACTGTTATCACATGTGGGGAAATCAGCATTAATATAGTAATCTCAATTCTCTCAATATTCTAATTTCTTTAATTGTCCCCCAAATGTCTTTTACAGCCATATTTTTAAACCAGCATCCCAAAAAGATCTATGCAATATGTTTGGTTTTCATATCTCCTTAGACTCTTAATATGGAATAGTCCTGCCACTTTTTCTTTTTCATGACATTGATTTTTTTTAAAAGACCAGAACAGTCATCTAATTTGAGTAGAGTTTTGGAATCCATGGTCAGAAAGAATTCGATTACTCATCAGGACTGAAAAGAGCTCTCCCTGTACACACCGATTCTCTCCATGCCCCTGCCTCAGCCTTCCTCTGTAGACAGAGCAGAGGGGCATGTCTGCTTAGCTTACAGATGCATCAGAAAGCTCCAGTCTCAGACAGGACTATGTGGTTGACCCCAGAGAAGGGGGATTGGGTAGGGCTGGAAGAAACACCACATCTTGTAGTAACCTTTTGTTCTGCTTTGCTTCCATCATCATCTTTACCAGGGTGTATTGGAACTGGAGGCTAAGCATGACCAGGACCTGGGTAAACAGGATGAGCAAGAAACAGATGTGGATGAGTACCCTCAAGCATCTACATCTCTGCAGTTTTCAAAGAAGAACCTCCTTGAATTGTAAGTCTTGACACATTGCAAGACAGAGCATTTAATAATGAGCATTTAATAATGTGTGGAGGGGAAAATGGAATTTAAGCAGAGAACTTAGGGAAAGTCTGGAAGATTTAAAATCCATACATGTCTTGAACCATAAAGCACTCCTGTGCATAGGTAACTACCTACATGATCTAGCAATAATGTGGAGTAAGGACATTTTAGGGATATAGACAGAGCATGGGAAAAAAAGAAAGAGCAAACTCTTCTTTGAGGCCTGAAATTTATGTTTAAACCTTCTCAGATAATTTTCTAGATAGGAAAACCATAATTATCATTAAGAGTATGTTGTTAAGCCCTTGTGGATCTTTTCCCTATTGTATACCTCTCTTCCCCCACCATGATATAACCACTATCTTAATATCAATATTTAACACTCATTCCACACAGCGAAATTAAAAATATGTCTTTTTTATTAAATGTAAAATATGCTTTGTTTTATCGAGTCTTTAAAGATCTGTTAAAGTGGATATCAAATGAATACCAAAACTTATTTTCTTGAGGCCTGTGTGCCCACCTGGCCCATTCTGGCCCAAGATCAACTTGCTATTCAAAGGAAGAACATTTCAGGCTATGGGAGTTTTTTCCCATTTCCTGCTTTGAAACTGATCACCATAACATTTCTGCAGGTGCCTGAAGGGCATGTTCCTCAAGCTAAACTACTGGAATGCAAAGATAGGTCTCCAGGTGAAAGAACTTAGAGCTGATTACATAGACAGAATGGACAAAATTGACAATATTATTTTTTAAAAATGTAACAGAAAACACAGTGAAGAGGTAATTGTAGGGTGTTGGGGTTGGTCATAAAATAGCAGAAAGTTTCATAGCTTTAAAAACTTAAGAAACTTTGGACTTAAGATGATAAAATCTTTAGGACAAGAAGTCTTATGATTAGAAGCCAATGACACAAAATCTCAAAACTTAAATCCAAGTTATCTGAATCTTTGTTCTCTCATCTCTCAAGGATCTCTGTCCTACATTGTTTCTTTGAGTCTGTGTTAGTAGTTATCAAAGGAAAGCCTTTAGGTCGCCAGTCATTCTTAAGGGATTATTCAGTATTGTCTAAGTCAGCCAGCATGTCATAGAAAAAAATGTGAAGTATATTTGCTAATGTGTCTCTGAACTTAAGTGAAAAATTTTAAGATTAAACAAAAAGGATACAATTAATTGTTATTTATCTAGACACTGGTATAAAGAGATTGAGCTTTGGAGGCAAAGAAACCCAGGTTTGTTTCCTGATACTGACATTTTTGGGGTAAATTAACCAACCTTTTTAAAGCCTCAACTTTCTTCTTCTGTAAAAGGGAACTAAAAACAGCCACTTCACTGATTTATTGTGGGGAGTCAGTAAAATTCTGTATGTAAAGAACTTAACACAAGGCTTGGTGTATAACAAACTGTTAATGAATGGAAGCTATTCTTAGAAATAAATACCTCTGGCCTTCTGAACTTTCCTACCACATTCCAAACTGTTTCCTACCGCAGGGCTACCCTTCTCCTAACTGTTTCCTTATCTTTCATTTGAACTCTCTTTACAGAGGCCTTCTTTTGACCATCTTGTCCAAAATGGGTCTTTTTTTCCTTCCAAAGCATTTATAATATTCTTTTTAGAAAGGATTCTGTGGTTTTATTGATTCAACACCATAAATTACATTTTAGAAATTAAGGTATAATTACATACAGTAAAATTATATTTTTAGCATACAGTTCTGCAAGTTTTGAAAAATGCATACAGTTGTGCAGTCACCACAGTGAAGATATAGAACACGTTTATCACTGCAAATCCCTCATGCTTTACTATAGTTAACCACGCTCCCCAGGCCAAGCTGCTAGCAACCACTGATCTCTTCTCTATTCTATTATTTTGCCTTTTCCAAAATGTCACATAAATGGAATCATACAGTATGTAGTCTTGAGTGTACCTTCTTTCTCTTGGAATAATGCATTTGAATGTTGTCCATGCCATTGGATGTATCAGTAGTTTTTTTTAAATTGCTAGATAGTGTTCCATTATATAAATATACCACATTTTATCCATTCACCAATGGAAGAACATGTAAGATTTTGGGCAATTAAAAATAAAGATTCCATAAAACATTTATGTATAGGTTTTTGTGAGAGCATACATTTTTATTTTCCTTGGGTAAACAATCAGGAATGGGAATGCTGGGTTATATCATAAGTGTATTATTTATATTTGCAAGAAACCGCTGAATGGTTTCAAAAAGGCTGTGCCATTTTGCATGTCTTCCAACAGTGTATGAGAGTTCCAGTTGCTCTACATCCTCACTACCACTTGATATTATCAGCTTCTTTTTTACTGTGACCATTTATAGGTGTATGGTGGTATCTCATACCACCATACTTTGCAATTTGCATTTAGCTAATAACTAGTAATATTGAGTATCTTTTCATGTGCTTATTTGCCATAAGTATACCTTCGTGGATGAAGTATCTGTTTGTCTTTAGCTCATTTTAAAAACGGGGTTACTCGGTTATTTGTTATTTATGGGTTGGTTGGTTCCTGCTTTTCTAGTTCCTTGAGGTACACTGTTGGATTGTTTATTTGAAATCTTTCTACTTTTTGGATGTAGGTGTTTATTGCTGTAAACTTCCCTCTTTGTCTGGCTTTTGATGTCTCTGATAAATTGTGGTAGGTTGTTTGTTTTCGTTTGTCTCAAGCAATTTTAATTTATTCCCTATTTCTTCCTTGACCCAGTGGTCATTCAGGAGCATGTTGTTTAATTTCCATACATTTCTATATTTTCCAAAGTTCCTCTTGGTATTGATTTCTAGTTTTATTCCAGTGTAATCTGAGAAGATACTTGATATGATTTCAATGTTTTAAAATTTGTTAAGACTTGTATTGTGTCCTAACATATGGTCTATCCCAGAGAATGTTCCACTTGCTGATAAGAATAAGGTATATTCTGCAGCTGTTGCATTAAATGTTCTATAAATGTCTGTTAGATCAATTTAGTCCAAAGTGCAGTTTAAATCCAATGTTTCTTTGCTTTTTTTTTGCCTAGATGTTATGTCCAATGCTGTGAGTCTGGCATTAAAGTGCCCAACTGTTATTGTATTGAAGTCTGTCTCTCCCTTTAGATCTAGTAATACTTGCTTTATATATCTGGGTGCTCCAGTGTTGGATGCATATATATTTAGAATTGTTACATCATCTTGTTAAATTGATCCTTTTATCATTATATAATACCCTCCTTTGTCTCTTTTTATAGTTTTTGACGTAAAGTCTATTCTAAGTATAGCCACTCCTGCTTGCTTTTGATCTCTATTTGCATGAAGTATTTTTTCAATTTCTTCAACTTGTCTTTACAGTGAAGTGAGTTTATTTTAGGCAGCATATAGTTGGGTCATTTAAAAAATCCATTCAACCACCCTATATCTTTTAAATGGATAATTTAATCCATTTATATTCAAGGTTATTATTGATATGTAAGGACTTATTCCTGTCATTTTGTTAATTGTTTTCTGGTTGTTTTGTATATCCTTATTTCTTTCTCTCTTATTGTTTATAATTGCAGTTTGATGGTTTTCTGTAGTGGTAATGTTTGACTTTTTTCTCTTTCTCATTTGTATATCTATTCTATCAGTGAATTTTATACTTTTTGAGTTTTCATATTTGTAGACTTTGTTCTTTCACTTCCAGATGTAGGATTTCTTTAAGCATTTCGTGTGGTGATGAATTATCTCAGATTTTGCTGATCTGGGAACAACTTTATTTCTCTTCCATTTTTTGAAAGATGGTTTTGCTGGGTATGGTATTCTTGGCTATCAGTTTTTTTTTTTTCTCAGCACTTTGAATATGTCATCCCATTCTCTCCTTGCCTGTAAGGTTTCTGCTGAGAAACCTGCTGTTAGTCTGATGGAGATTCCCTTATATGTGACTTGACACTTTTCTTTTGCTGTTTTTAGAATTCTCTCTTTGTCTTTGATTTTGGCAGTTTGCATGTAATGAGCCTTGGGGATGACTTTTTTGATACAAATCTATTTGGGGTTCTTTATGTTTTCTGTATTTGAATGTCTATCTCTTGCAAGACTTTGGAAGTTTTTAGCTATTATTTCATTAAAAATTTTTTTTAATGCCTTTGCCCACTTTTTCTCCTTCTGGAACTCCTAATATCGAAATATTTGGTTTCCTTATGGTGTCTCATATGTCAGGTAGGGCTTTCTTCCTTCCTTTTTATTCTTTTCTTTTTTTTTTTTTTTTTTTTTGCTGATTGGTTTATTTCAAAACACTTGTCTTTAAAGTTTAGAAAGTTTTCTTCTGCTTGATCTGGTCTATTATTTAAGCTCTTTATTGTACTTTTATTTCATTCATTGAATTCTTCAGTCTCAGAATTTGTTTGATTCAGATCATGAATTGTTTTCTTGACTTCTTTGTTTTGCTTACCTGTGTTCTGTTAGATCTCACTGACTTTCTTTAGTATCAATATTTTGAATTCTTTTTCAGGCATTTCATAGTTTCCCTTTTCATTAGGATGTTACTGGAGAATTACTGCACTCCTTTGAAGATGTCATGTTTCCTTCCTTTTTCATGTTTCTTCGGTTCTTACATTGATATGTATGCATCTAGTGCAATAGTCAAATCTTCCAATTTTATGCATTGGCTTTCATAGGGAAAGATTAGTTTTTCCTAAAACTCTATTTATAGCATTAGTTGGGTAGGGTGCTTTGGCTTTGATTATTGGTGGGTGGGCATACTAGTGTAGTCTCTACATGATTTCTTTGGTTGTAATCAGCATCAGTGGTATCTGTAAGTTCCTCAGTGGCTTAGGCCATGCTTATTTGTGGAGGCTGAGGCAAACTTTACTGGGGACAGTTACCCTAGGCAGATTGGTCCTCAAGTGCCAGTGGTGGTGGCAGCAGGGTGGGAGTGCCCATCCTTAGGTCCCCATGCAGCATATGCATGACCAGTGGTGGTGAGTCTGGGTGGGTCAGATCTTTGGCTTCTAGGCAGCTTGGTTGATTGCTGGCAGTGGCAGCAGTGGCTGAGAAGGTGGGTCCTCATGTCCCTGGGCAGTGTGTGTGGCACTGACTGTGGCAATAGTGGCAGCAAGCCAATCCTTGGATTCCCAGGTAGCATGTGCAGGGTGCCAGCGGTGATGGCAGTGAGCTGGGTGGGCCAGTCCTTAGGCCCCTAAGAGTCATGAATGGGTAGATACCAGTGATGACGGCAGCTGTAGGCTGGGCAGGCTGGTCCCTAAGCCCCCATGAAACACACATAGGTGCAGGCAGCAGGAAGGGTAGGCCTATCACCAGGCCCTTGAACAATGTACATAGACAGTGGCAGTGGGCAGGGCCCATCCTCAGACCCACAGAAAGCAAGTGTTGGCACTAGCCATGACAGGCAAGGCAGGTTGATCCTGAGGTTCCCAAATAATGTATGGCAGGCACTGGTGCTGGCAATATGGGGAGCAGGCCTGTCCTCAGACTCCTCAATGATGTGCACAAGACCCCAGTGCTATTGATGGTGGCAGTAGCAGGGTGGACCTGTGGTCAGGCCCTCAGATGGCATGAATGGCTGACAATAGTGGCAGGCAGAGTGAGTTGATTACCAAGGCTCCTGGATGGCATGCTTAGGCAGCAGTGGGGTGGGTGGAACAGGACTGTTGTCAGACCCCTTGATAGTGCATGTGGGTGTCAATGGCTGTGGGTGGAGCAAGTCAGTCCCCAGGCCCCTAGACAGTGCAGCAATGGAATACTAGCAGTGATGCTGGTAAGTGGGATGGGCCTGTCATCAGGTCCCCTGATGGTGT